CTGGGGCAGCAGACGCACTGGCACCTGGGGCAGCAGATGCACTAGCATCTAGAGCAGCATCCTCACCAGCTCATAGAGCAGTAGCCTCAATGACCGGGTCAGGCGGTACACACAAGTAAGAGTCACCCGCAACACAAGTATCAACAGCATACATGGCAGCAAGAATAGCATCAAAATCAAGATCAAAGATAGCAACCCCGGCTTTAGACAGATCTCCTCAGCGAGGGATCTCTCACGCCTTAGGGAATTGGCAACGCCACGCCTCCGTCAAGCGACCAAAGCAGCGCTGGGTGGAGTGCGGGCCTTCGCACTGCTCAAAAGCTCGATCGCCGGTACGGAGGACGTAAGCGAAGGGCCAAAACCCCCACCGCGTTGACGTGCAGCGTAACACTCACAAAGCTGCTGAGGGGAGAGGGTCACACCACTCCGCTGCTGCTGGCGCGGACCACCACCTGAGCCACTCCTCTGCGCAGAGTCATGACCCGCTCCAGCACCACCGCCGCCGCCGCCTCCGCCGCCTCCGCCGCCTCCTCCACCTCCGCCACCTCCGCCACCTCCACCGCGTTTTCGCTCTCCTCCGCCACCTCCCCCACCGCCCCGCCTCCTCCACTGCTGCCGCCCGCCGCCGCCACTCCCCGGCACCCACTCCCCCACACCACCCCCACTCCCTCCCATTGCCTCCACCACCACCTCCACCGCCCCCTCGAGCCCCTCCTGTGCCCTTGCCCCCCTTGCCCCTGCCAGCGCGGCGTTTCCCGCTCGGGGCAGACGCAGCGCCGACCGACTCGAAACCAACGAGGTCGGCCGCCGGCAGAAGAGGCAGCAGAGGGCTAAGAGGGGGAGGGAGAACACCCCTCAAAGATGGGGGTGCGAGGGTCACCAAGAGAGGCTCCTACAGCGGACTATGCTCTTCTCTATCGCTAGGAGGGCCTTCTCGAGGAGGTCAACGGTGAGAGTGGTGGGGCAAACTGAGAGGGAAGTGGTCCCTGACTACGCGGAGGAGATTCAGGGAGCCGGGTGGACTATGTAGTAGAGGGTGATGTACATGGGGGGGGGGGGGTGGTTCTTGGCGCAGAAACTCAGCAGGAAGCGCAGCGCAGGAGTAGCGAGTTGTCACTAGTGCGGAGGTGCGTAATGAGGTCAGCGACTATGGGAAAGGCAGCAAGGTCAGGTAAGAGGTTACGGTAGCATGAGGCGGCTCAGTGCAGTAGTGGCATGGGAAGAGTAGCATGCAACTACAGCGTCGTACAAGGCCTTGAGCACTTCTTGTACTGGCTAAAGTGTGCACACTCAATGGTCGGTAAGTGGCGGGCGCATAGCAAGGCGAGCAGCAGCATGGTGCGTGGCCCACTATGAGCGAAGAGTGGCGTCAGCATCAGCAGCAGGGGCAGGAGAGGCACCAGAAGTGAGGTCAAACAGGGATGAGGCCGTCTGCCCTATCGCACTACAGGAAAAGCTGCAGATCATCTACCCAGACCTCCATTGTCAACTGCCCGACCCTCAGCGTCAAAGGTGAGAACGCTAGGGAGGCCATACAGCAGTAGACAGGCAGTGAGTACAGTGGGGGCAAGGCAGTGCAGAGTGGCAGAGACTTTGCTCTTACCAGGCAAAGTGGGGCTGTCGGGCGGCTCAGCGGTCGGGCCTTTCGGCTGCCTCGGCAGCTCGGCGGATCGGCGGTCAGGGCGGCTCGGCTGCTGGGCGGCTCGGCGGTCGGGCGGCTCGGCTGCTGGGCGGCTCGGCGGCTCGGCTGCTGGGCGGCTCGGTGGTCGGACGGCTCGGCTGTCGGGCGGCTCGGCTGCTGGGCGGCTCGGCGGCTTGAGCGCTGGGCTGGACTGAGCGGCGACGGGGCCGTTGGAAGGGCGGCGACAAGGCCGCTGAAAGGGCGGCGACGGGCGGCGACAAGGCCGCTGAAAGGGCGGCGACGGGCAGCGCTGGAAGGGCGGCGACGCGCCAAGGGAAGGGCGGCGAAGGCCGCTGAAAGGGCGGCGACGGGGCCGCTGAAAGGGCGGGCGGCGGACGGGACCACTGAAAGGGCGGGCGGTGGGGCACGTTGAAAGGGCTGGCGACGGGGCCCGCTGAAAGGTGCGGGCGGCGACGGGGCCACTGAAAGGGCGGCCGTTGGGCCGCTGAAAAGGGGCGGCGACGGGGCCGCTGGAGGGCAGCAACAGGCCGCTTTAGGGCGGTGTCGGGGCCGCGGAAGGGGCGGGTCGACGGGGCCGCTGTAAGGGCGAGCGGCGAGGCCAGCGAAAAGGGCGGCGACGGGGCCCGTGGAAGGCGGCGACGGGGCCGCTAAAAGGGCGGCGACGGGGCCGCTGAAAGGGCGGCGCGACGGGGGTCGTAGGAAAGGGGTGGCGACGAGGCCGCGTAAGGGGGCGGCGCGAAGGGGCCGCAAGGGCGGCGTGACAGGGCCGCAAGGGCGCACGACGGGGCCGAAAGGGCGGACGCGACAGGGCATTAGTGGCTGCTAGAGGCCGCTAGAGGGGGACGACTCGGGGCGCGACTCGGGCAGGGGCCAAGCGTGCTGTGGCAAGAAAAAAAAATTGGTGGGCCCTATGAACAGTTCCCACGAGGGAACCAGCTCTATACCATGTGAAGAATGAAACGAGAGAATGATTGAACTATGAAGAGTTGGGTACAAGTACTAACCCTAATTGGGTTGTACCCCTTATGGGCTACCCCACTATAGCCTACACAAATGTATAAGCCATAATGTTCTGACATGTGTACGTCGGGTTTGGTTCCAAAGACTCGCGACGAGGGGTCCTTTCGTCGAGTTGTTCTTCCGGTGAGTAGTGGGGCGGTGACTCGGTGATGCAGGAGTTTGTCAATCTCGCCATACAGCTGACGATATTTCTTGTTCCTTGTAGAGATTGTGTCGTCGATGTCGTTGAAGACTGCGTTGACTGGTGGGCTGCGCCTGCGTGGAGGCCACTTGACTGCTTGAGGGTCGAAGTTGACGTTGCGGTGGCGTTGACTGCAGCTGATTTGGGCAGTATGTGCGAGGATGTCCTGACGTCTTGTAAAGGTGGCAGAACGATGGTACGTGCCGTTGTGGTTGATGCTTATTCTGTCGGATCTTGTTGTGTGGTTGTTGTTGTTGTACCGTCGTCTGAGTGTGAAAAGCGAACTCAGGTACTAGCGTTATTCGGCGTGATTTTTCCGCGTGCACGCCCATGTCTTGCTGCTTGGCGTGAATTTCAGCTCAAAATGCTGCTTCAGAGATCTTCTCGTGAGCTCGGAGAAGGGCTCGGGTGGAGCGCCAATGGGGACCAAGTCGAGCAATGATGACAGTGACAAAGGCTTCTTGAGATATCGCTCCTCCGCATCGAAGGAGTCTGTCGCGCAGTCCGCGACAACAACTGATATACGCCATCCCTTTTTCACCAGGTTTCATTTCCACTATTGTCACCTATGCCATTAACCGGCTCTGATTGACGCTGTCTGTTGCTTGATACATGTTCTTCAAGTGGTTGTACGCGAGCTCGGCATAGTTGTCGTATCCCCGATAAAACCGGATCTTCTGCTGTTCGTTTGGTGTTATGCTGCGTAACGGAATCGTGTACGCCATCAGTGACTGATACGTACATTGCTGCTTGTCATACTGCGTTCTGTGCGTTGGGTATGGCAGGGAACCGTCGTAGAATCCGAGGACTTGCGCGCCTTCCATCATCAGCTCGAACTCGAATGACCAGGTATAGAAGTCTTTCCTGTCGAATGGTCTCGATGTCTGCAGCTTTAAGACGTGTGCAAACTGCGATTGAACCTGAAGTGCGTCCAGTGTCTTTTCTTGTCAAGGTGAAGGCTGCTGATGCGGCATGAAGCTAATGGAGCCGCGTTGATGCTCGTACTGAGCGAAGGTGGGTTGCTGCTGATTTCCGCGCGCGTAGGATGAGCCATCAAGACTCATGGGCGTGACACCATCGTTGTTGTCGCTGTTGTTTGACTGCGCAGGTGCTGTTTGCTGGTGCTGTTCGTAGAAGGACATGAAGGAGAAGAACTTCTCCATCATGTTTGGGTCGAAGCCGGTCGTTTGGTTCGTAGGAGTTTTTGTGGACTCAGCAGCTGGTCTTGTTACCGTGCCTCCCTCTGTCTGTTGGCCAGAGGCTGGAGGTGGAGTAGGAGTAGTGCCGGGAGAGCCGTTAGAGGAGCTTCTCTCCTTTTGTGTTGCCATGTCTTCTAATATTGTAGGAGTTGGAACGAGGTGGGGTTTTGCCTTGTCTGCTCTCATACCATGTTGGGCTGAGAAAAGCCCTTAGGATCGTTCAAGGCTAAGACTCCAATAAGTATATTGTATTGCGGAAGCGTTTAGTGATAAATTGTTGAACCACCTTGCCTTGGTGTGTGAGGGCAAGATAGATTGATTATGATGAAGTAATACAAGCTTTTCTAAGATTACAAGGAATATGAAAGGATGCAATGATTGTTTCACTATTGTTGTTGCGGTTCGATACAGTGACGACTCGGGCAACTGCTCAATACCGAGTCAGTTGTTTGTCCTTGCTGTCGCGCTGTATTTGTCTAGTCAAAGGTCGCTGACCTTTGGCCTTCGCATAACCTCCAGCTGTTACTTTTCTGTCAACCTCTTCAGTTGACTCGCCATTGCTGCGCTGTAGTTCGCCTCGTTAGCAGTCTGATGTTACGACACATAAGAAGCGTTGATTACTTGTTTCCAACACGGGGCGGGGCAGGGCATGGCCTGCTGAGGAACGGGGGGCAGGGCACGGCCTGCTAAGGAACGGGACAAGGCGGGCTAGGCTAGGGAACGGGGTGGGGCGGGCTAGGCTAGGCTCGGAACGTTATCTACTCGTGATACGGTACCATCTCAAAGTTAGAACAGTGAAATGTATGTGATTAAGAAGATGGGAGATACAAACACTAACCCTAGAAAGTCTTGTACTCTCTACAGTGTTACTGACTAAAGGCTATCAAGATAATGTACAGCATTTGACAAATGACACCTGCCCAGCCAGATTCTACTCAGGCAATAAATGCCCGTCGAGCTACACCACAAACTCGCGACTATCCTCTGAACCCAGCATTGCCAGCCGTGTGCCCAGTGCACCGCCACTGCCCTGCCCATCCCATATGCCCGTGCCACTCCCCCAGAACAGCCCGCTCCATCTCCCTATGCTCTGCCCCCCACCCTCTCGTCTCTCTCCGCTGTCCCCCTCTCTGCTATCTAGCCTTTCTCCTGTCCGCTCCCCTTGCAGCAGGGAGGCTCGAAGGGGCTTGAGGGTTCGGAGGGCCGCAGAGGGAGTGGGGCGGGAGGAGGGAGAAGGGGAGGTGCAGGAGAGGGCGAGGAGGAAGAGGGGGAGGAGGAGGGAGTGAGGGGGTGGAGGGTGTGGGAGGAGGGGGTCGAGGAGAGGAGAGACGTTGCCGGCTGTCACATGCTGCTGGGCCTGAGGGTTGGGAGGACGGGGAGAGGGAGATGCGGGCAGGGGAAGAAGGGAAGGGGAAGGTGAGGAGGATGAATAGGAAGAGAGCGGGAGGAGACAAGGGGGATGGAGGGGCAGGGCACTGTGAGCTTGAGACTTAGAGGTTTCCAATGTGAGTTGTGTGCTCTGATGCCTGGCTGGCTTGCAAGGGGCGAGTGCATGGTCAATGCACATTGCGCACGCACCATCATCACAACTACACCATGCTACGCTACGCCATGCCATGCCATGCTATGCCACGCCACGCCATGTCATGCCACTATGCCACGCCACATTATGCCATGCCAGCCACACCATGCCAGCCCATTCCCTGCCACGCCATGCGACACCACACCATACCATGCCATGCCATGAGCAGCAGGGCTGCACGCACCCAGTCAGAGATGTGGACGCGCTGCCCATCCACATGCTTGTAGGGAGCATCCCAACCCGTGAGCAGCTGCAGCAGCAGCACCCCCACGCTGGCAAGGACAGACCGGAGGAAAAGGGGCAGAGGGAGGGCGAAAGGGTGAGGTAGGAGAGATGAAATAAGCAGCTGTTGCAGCAGCACTCCCACACTGGCAATTGCAGAGAGAGTGGAGAGGGCAAGATGATGGTGAAACATGTGGGCCCCACCTGAACATGTGGGCCCCACCTGAACATGTGGGCCCCACCTGAACATGTGGGTCCCACCTGAACATGTAGGCCCCACCTGAACATGTGGGCCCCACCTGAACATGTGGGCCCCACCTGAACATGTGGGGCCCAACTAAGCATGTGGTCCCACCTGAGCATGTGCGCCTCACCTGAACATGTCTGACATGGCAGAAGCAATGTCAGAGTGCAGCACAGCGGGATCCACATGCCCCTCCGTGCACCGCAACACTCTCCGCTGCTTCAACCCTCCACTGCCACTGCTGCTGCTGCTGGTGCTGCTGCCACTCCTCTTGCTCTCGCTCGAACTCCCACTGTGGCCACTCTTGCCACTGCTGCCAGCGCTGCCACTGCCGCCAGCTTCGCCACTGCTGCCACCCTTGCTGCCTCCACCTTCCCCACTCCCGCTCGTCCAGGAACCTTCCTGATGCCCGCCCATGTCCACGTGCACGCGCTGCCCCATGCGCACCGCACTCCAGTCGCCCACCCGCGCCTGGCAGGGGAGGGTGTGGAAGAGGGGAGTGAGAGAGGTGAGGATTGTGCAGGCAGTCATGGATGCGGCATGATGCTATCTTGGCAGCAATTGAGGGCAAGATAGAGTGGGTTGAGGGCAGACATGATGAAATGCCAAATCAGATTTTACTCGACCGTTGTCTCGAGTGAGACACGAGTCGAGTCCACTAAAACTCGACCCAAGTTGGAATGTAAGCTTGGCGGGAGAAAGCGTATCGCGTTTATAGGTTTGCAATACGCTTGGAATGCGCTCAGGATGCCGTGAGGAGGGATAAGATGGAGAGACACTTTAGAGGAGAGTAGTCCTAGGCTAAGCCGATTTCATCAATTTTTACCTTCCCCCCACTTGAAGGGTGCATCGAAGTCGATTCGAGGGACAAATCAAAATGATTCGACCCAACCATGTCTTCTTGTTAGAATCCGTGAGAAAAGATAAACGATGTTTCGAGTAAGGAGCCAAGAGCCTCTATATTGACAACGGAAGTGAGCTAGACTACAAGGGTTGGCACGAACTACTAGGAGTGATCGTAGCTTTGCTTAGTTCCTTGGTGCTTGCTCATATACGGGAGAAATCGGCAAGAGTTGCACTAGGCAAAGTTGGTATTACAGAATGATTGAACAAGCAATGACAACAATGACTACATCAGGCACCTAGCAACTTTGCAGCTAGCCTAGTCGACCGCCTGCCAGTGGTTGCGTAGAGGAGCCGCGCCAGCACTGCAGAAGAGCGACCTGCCAACACTGCAGGTCAACGGCGTGCCAACGCTTCAGCAAAGTGGCTGTCCAGCGTTGCCCCGTAGAAGACAACAGTGCGCACACTCGCAGATGCGCGCAGACGATTGGCCCGACTCGCATCATTGTGCATCCGTCAGCTGTTGCCTGCGCCTGACGAGCCACATCGACTTCAGAATACCAACCCGAAGTTGCCTTCGCCACCGCGATACCCCCTGGTCGACGGACCCCTTCCGTCGACCAGAGCTGTCAGCGGTTGTCGTCGAGCTCCCCTCGTCGACCGCTGCTCACTTGTCAAGTCGACGGACTGCTCCGTCGACCTCCCGGTCAAACTGCAGGTCGACGGACTGCTCCATTGACCTCCCGGTTGGACTGCACCTCCTGGTCGACAGCCCACCCGTCGCCCAGACCAGTCAGTTGCAGCTGTCGAGCTCCCTGGTCGAGAGCAACACCACAGCGGTCCCCTGCAGCTCGACGAAGCCTGTCGAGCGGCTCTCCCACTGTGAACGGTCGGCTGCTTCTCCCGTACATCCGACCAAGCCGTCGGCGCTGCCCACGTGAGGGCGGGGCCAACACTCCACTCTCGTTAACATATAGTACTTGCTCTATAGTAAGGAGCCAAGAGCCAAGATGCTATTTACTTTCTCTATAAATGAACAAGAGGAGCGAAAGGGAAAGTTTCCCTGTTGGCCGCTAGGCTGGCCAATGGGTGAGCTTGCTTGTAGCCCACGCAACCATAAATGCGAATTGGTTGGGTTTGGTGCAGCTAAGGACCAAAAGTTAGCAAATGCCAACCAAGGACCAAGCTTCAGGACCAATCTTCACCAACTATAAGTTGCGGTTGGTGAATACACTCAACAACCCACCAATATATGAAATTGCTACATGTCAAAATCTAGCCTATGGATGTAGAAAAATAAGAGATTACGACAGAATCTGCACTCGAGACTTTCCCAAGCCAAGTAATAAAAATTCGACTCAAGTGTTTACTGGATTCGAATGAACAAGTTTAGTTGAGAGGCAAGGCACCCATCTCCCAAGCAGCAGCAACAATCACCTCCCAATCACTTTGAGTAGGGCAAAACACACACTCACCTCCCAGGCAACAGTGAGCAGCACATTGGAGGGCTTGAGGTCGCCGTGCACCCACCCGTGGCTCTGCACCGCCTTGAGAGTTTTTAAGACGTCTCAAAAACTCTCTTTTATCACGTCACTCACCTCCCAGGCAACAGTGAGCAGCACGTTGGAGGGCTTGAGGTCGCCGTGCACCTGCCCGTGGCTCTGCACCGCCTTGAGCGCCCTCAGCACCCCCACCGTGATGCCCACCCGCTGCCGCAGGGACAAGGGGCTGCTGCCCGCCTGCGCGGCTGATTTGGGAGTCATGACATGACGGAGGTGAGGTGTGGGGATGGGTTGGACATGGTTCAATGGGTGGACTCAAAACTTGAGCGCCCTCAGCACTCCCACCGTGACGCCCACCCGTTGCCGCAGCGACAAGGGGCTGCTGCCCACTAGTGTGGCTGATGCACGAAGCAGGTGAGGTGTGGGGATGGGATGGACACGGTGCAAGAGGGTTGGCAGTGGGCAATGGGGAGTTCGCCCTGTGGGGTCAACAAAACAAGGGCAAGAGTTCACAAGGAAAGGAAGATTGTCGCAAGGAAACGAAGAGGGTCGCAAGGAAAGGAAGAGGGTCGCAAGGAAAGAAAGAGGGTCAAGAAGAACGGAAGAGGGTCACAAGAGAAGCAAGATGGTCACAAGGGAAGGAAGAGGGTCCACTCTTGTGTCCACACAATGCTGCAGCGATAATGGGGCTTGAGGGGCTGAGATGATTTGGGAGGAAAGGAAGGTGGGGTGCGCGAGGGATTACCTCGGTAAGGGAAAAACAAGGAAGGCGAAAAGAGGTGGTTGCGAGGGGCAGGCATGGGATGGGATGTGAGAGGAGAGGAGAGGAGATGGGAGGAGACGAGAAGTGAGGAGAAGCGAGGAGTGGCGAGGTGAGGAGAGGAGAGGAGAGGAGAGGAGAGGAGAGGAGAGGAGAGTGAGCAGAGGAGAGAGAGGAGAGGAGAGGAGAGGAGAGGAAAGGAGAGAGACGAGAGGAGTGAGGAGAGGAGAAAAGAGGAGAGGAGAGGAGAGGAGATGAGATGAGGGAGAGGAGGGGAGAGGAGAGGAGTGGATAGGAGTGGGAGGTGGAGGAGGACAGGTGGTGAGTGAATGGCATGGCGGTCCACTGTGAGCGCACCTGCCTGCAGCACTGCCTGCAAGCTGCCCCTCTCCATCCACTCATACACCAACACCTGCCCCTCCTCTCCCCCCTCCTGCCCGCCCTTCTCCTCTCCCTCCTCCTGCCTGCTCCCCTCCTCTCCCCTCTCCTTCCCACCCCCCTTCGCTCCCCTTTCCTGCCCGCCCCTTTCCTCTCCCCGCGCCCGCCCCTCCTGCATACCCCCCTCCCCTCCCCCCCTCCCGCACTCCCCTCTGCCCTGCCTCTGGCAGCCCCTCGATGCCCCCCCCAGCCTGCCAGCTGCACCACCCCACGAGGCGGAGCACGTTGGGGTGCCCCACCCGCGCCAAGGCCAGTGCGTGGGCCTCCAGTGACTCCCACGGCGGCCCCCCTCTCATGCGCTTCACTGCCCACACGCCCCCCCCGCCCCCGCGCCCTCCCCCTCCCTGCACGCATCCCCTGCTTCCTCTGCAACGCGCCCCCCTCCTCTCCCCCTTCCTGCTTCCCCTCTCCCCCGTCCTGCTTCCCCTCTCCCCCTCTTCCATTCCCACCATCGCTCTCTGCCTCACTCCTCTCCTCGCTCTTTCCCCCCTCCGCCCTCCGCCCCGATTCCCCCCATTCCCCCCATTCCCCCCTGTACACGTCACTCCACCTGCCTCCCCCCACCCTCCGCCCCTCTGCCCACCCATTGGTGGCCCTGATTAGGTCAGCAAGGGGAATGTGAGGGCAGGGGAGGGTGCGCCTGAGCATGGAAGGAGCTGGACGGGGAAGGGGGGAATGAGGGGAACGGGGGGAATCATGGGAATGAGGGGAACGGGGAATGAGGGAAAGAGGGGAATGTGAGGGCAGGGGAGGGTGCGCCTGAGCATGGAAGGAGCTGCAAGGGGAAGGGGGGAATGAGGGGAACGGGGGGAGCGGGGGAGATGAAGGGAATGAGGGGAGCGGGGGGGATGAAGGGAATGAATGAGGGGAATGAGGGGAATGAGCGGAACGAGAGGTGTAAATAAGGCGGCAAGTGAGTAGGACTCTTGAGCAGATGAAGGGGTGGGGAATATGGGGGGGCCACAAGAAAGGAAGAGACGCAAGAGAAAGGAAGAGAGGCAAGAGAAAGGAAGAGAGGCAAGAGAAACAAAGATATTAGGCGCTGTTGAAAGAGAGGTGCAGGAACCACATGAAACGAGGAGAAGGGTAGCATCAGCAACGGGGGGGCAGCATGCCACACACACACACACACACACACACACACACACACACACACACACACACACACACACACACACGCACGCACGCATGCACAAAAATACACACAAGCACATGCAAACACACGTACACAGCTACTCACATCCACACACCCACCTACTCACACACACTCCCTCTCACCCCCTTACACACACACTCCACTCCACCCACCACTTGCTGGCATGGCGACACATGCCCCACAACAACACCCGCCCATCCATCACATCACATGCCTGCTTCATCCCTGCTCCCTTCCCCTCTGATACAAGCGTAGATTTGAGACGTCTCAAAACAGCACTTTTATCACGTGCCCCCACTACAAGACCCACCCCACCCATCCATCACATCATATCACATGCCTCCTTTATCCCCGCTTCCCGCCCTCTCCCCTGCCCACTCACTCATAACCTCCCCCTTCCGCGCCTGCCTGCGCCTCCACCACCACAGCCCCCATCCCCCCCCCCCCCACCAGCACCACCAGCAGCAGCACCGCTGCACCCGCTGCTGCCCCGGCAATTGTGGATGGTGAGAGGGAGGAGGCGAGAGAGGGGGGAGGAGGAGGGGAGGCGACCAGGACTGAGATGATAAGGGGAGGAGGTGGGGGGAAGAGGGATGGCGGAGGGGGAGGAGGAGAAGGGGGAGGCGGTCTGGGGATTGGTGCTGGGGGGGAATAAGACAGGGGGATGGGATGAAGGGCTGGGGTGAGGTGAGGGATGGGTGGGCCGGGATGGGGGATGGGTGGGCATGTTTGAGTATGGAAGCGATTTGTTTTTAACCGAATGCGGAGATCAATGGGCGGGTTATATATTGGGGAGTGCAAACGGGGGGGTTTGCAGTGCGGATCACCAAAGCAAGGCTAAGTGTATGTATGGTTGGTTGGTTGGTTGGTGTGATTCTGACCGTTGATTGGGATACAAGTGGAGCAGAAAGTCGAACAGAGCCTGCAAAACATGGATGAACGGTCCTGATTTATTTCACAGCGTCCCTCCATTGGGCAGCCCACCCCACTATTAGGAAACTGACTGAAAGGCGGGGCACACAGAGGGCAGATGGGCGGGACACACAGAGGGCAGATGGGCGGGGCACACAGAGGGCAGATGGGCGGGACACACAGAGAGAGGAATCGCCAGATTAGCATCCTCTTTGAGTCCGGTATGTAAGCTATGATGCTCGGGTAGAATTTGACACCCAACTACTAAGTTACCCAAACTACTAAGTTTGGTTGCACAAACTAATGGAATGTCTGCCTTAGTGGCAGGTTGGGAACCCAACCGTGGCCCAATATTCTGGTGCCAAGGCTGGGTTGGGAGATTACTAGCTGGTTTTTGAAAATTCTCAAAAACCAATATTCTGGTGCCAAGGCTGGGTTGGGAGATTACTAGCTGGTTTTTTTTAATCCTCAAAAAACAATTTTCTGGTGCCAAGGCTGGGTTGGGAGATTACTTGAGCCCAAATCATCTTAAATCAACTTTGAACGAAATGATTAGGATCCGCAATGATTCTCCGACCCAACATATTCGCGGGGGCAATAATCATGGCCATTGGCCAAGATCCCTTTCGAGTCAACTCAAAATTCAGTTCTCCATTCCAACTTACTGGTGGGGCCCAAGCATCTTGTCCAAGAGCTTCCCACCCCTTTTTTCTCAGACCACAATGTATGCCCCTCCTATTCTGATCCAAATTATAAGTGCGTTTTTGCGATTCACCCAGGTATGTCATGTGGAAGGCACACATCAAGGTATGTCATGTGAGTAAACGTGTATCAAATTTTAAATATGAATATGTATGTACTCGTAGAGAAGAGGAAATCGCACAAGGTTACAAGATTCGTGAGGGCTCCAAAAGCGGCAGGGATCTTTCCTTGAACCTTTGTTCCAATCAATTCACTGAGTGGGACGCGGTTTGGGAAAGTGAGATAAGAGGGGAGCAAGCGTAAGGGGAGAAAGAGACTGGTCAGAGGAATGTGAGAGTGAAGCGAGGAGAGGGAGACAGCAAACATCAGTTTGACTCAAGTGAAGGCAAATGACTGGGGTGTAGGCACAGACATGGCAGGAGATAGAGTGGGCAGGAGATAGAGTGGGCAGGAGATAGAAGCAAAAATAGCAGGACGGGAGGGGAGGGGCACACAGGGCGGGGAGGAAGAGGGGGAGGGGCGCACACACATGCTAAGTTGGAAAAAAAAGCTCACCTGTACCTGCGTATTGAGTTTATACGCTACAAAAATACGTACACTGCGTTTTTTGTGTAAAAACGCGGGAAAAAAAAAAAAAAACGTTTCGGCAGACCAGAAAAGAAAACCAGAAGCTGGGTGGGTTTGAATGCGGCTCATTTCTCCAATCGATGTCCATCCTTCTGTTTTGTTTTTACCTTGTTCCTACCGACCTCGTTCTTATCGACGAGCAGGCACCACCTTCGTGCTTTGCACCTCGGCCATCCTGCCTCTGAACCTTTTGAGACGTCTCAAAAATCCCCGCCTCTGAACCTTTTGAGACGTCTCAAAAATCCCCGCCTCTGAACCTAACAAACTGGCCCGGGATTTCATTTCATCTGCCCAGGCCAGCGCATGCTGTGCATACCACCGGATACTCCTCCCGCAGCGTTTGGCGTTTATACGCTAGCGCATAAACTGTGGAACGCTCATATTCCAACTTAGCGCAGAGGGTGGGGGAGGAAATTGGGGAGGGGCGCAGAGCACAGTGAGGCGACTGAGGGCTGTGAGGAAGCGAGGCAGCCGGCCCGAGATGGTACCTATAGCCATGCGATTAGGCGAGCAGCAGTCTAGGAAGAAAAAATTGAGACGTGTGGAAAGGGGGGAGGGGCGTACAGCACAGTGAGGCGAGTGAGGGCTGCAAGGAAGCGAGGCAGCCGGCCCGAGATGGCAGTGTTGCCGAGTAAACTGGGGCAGGGGGAATGGGGAAGGGGAAGGGGGAGGGGGGATGGGGAAGGGGAAGGGGGAAGGGGGAAAGGGGAGGGGGAAGGGGGAAATGGGAAGGGGGGAAGAGGCAGTGAGCAGGGGAAGGGGGGAAGGGGGCATGGGGGGAGGAGGGAGGGGGATTGGAGAAGGTGGAAGGGGGGAAGGGGAAGGAGGAAGGGGAAAGGGGGAAGGGGAGCGGGGGGCAAGGGGCAGGGGGGAGGGGGAGTGGAAAAAGGGAAAGTGGAAGTGGGCAGGGGGTAGGGGAAAGGGGGAGGGGGGGGAGGCCAGAGGAGAAGAAAAGGAGACATGGAAAGCAAAGCACCAAGGGATGAAGGGTATGGGAGTGGGACAGTCCCTGCCAGGGGATGGGATGGGATGGGATGGGATGGGATGGGAAACATACGCTTGTGAGGAGGAAGCGATCTACACGAGGGGATTCATTTCAGCAGCGGGCCGACCCGTCCCGACCCAGGCCGACCAGGGAAGACAAGGCCGACCCGACCCTGGCCAGGCACGGATCAGGCCTGGTCGACCTTACCTCGGGTCACATACATCCCACGGATTTGCATCCCGTCCTGAAGTTTTATGGAAAATGGAGGGGACAGATGTGACACAACAACAACACCCGACCCCAAGTCGGGCAACTAGACCCGCATTTTCGCACAGATTGGCAATTTCGCCTGGTGTTTTTACATGCCGAGAGGTTGTGGGCAGATGTATGTAATTTATCTACCCAAAAAAACAGGGGAAAAAAAAAAACAAAAAACAAAAAAGTGAGAGATTGCAGGAGAGGCAGGGTTCAGGGGCTGACAGATGCTGGAGTCTGGTGAGGCGGGAGAGAGCGCGAGGCAGGGATCCCGTGAGAAAGGGGTTCAAACTCAACACCCTGCCATGCACGTGAGAAAGGGGATCTGACTCAACACCCTGCCATGCACATGAGAAAGGGGATCTGACTCAACACCCTGCCATGCACGTGAGAAAGGAGATCTGACTCAACACCCTGCCAGGCTGCCATGCACGTGAGAAAGGGGATCTGACTCAACACCCTGCCATGCACGTGAGAAAGGGGATCTGACTCAACACCCTGCCATGCACGTGAGAAAGGGGATCTGACTCAACACCCTGCCATGCACGTGAGAAAGGGGATCTGACTCAACACCCTGCCATGCACGTGAGAAAGGGGATCTGACTCAACACCCTGCCATGCACGTGAGAAAGGGGATCTGACTCAACACCCTGCCATGCACGTGAGAAAGGGGATCTGACTCAACACCCTGCCATGCACGTGAGAAAGGGGATCTGACTCAGCACCCTGCCATGCACGTGAGAAAGGGGATCTGACTCAACACCCTGCCATGCACGTGAGAAAGGGGATCTGACTCAACACCCTGCCATGCACGTGAGAAAGGGGATCTGACTCAACACCCTGCCATGCACGTAAGAAAGGGGATCTGACTCAACACCCTGCCATGCACGTGAGAAAGGGGATCTGACTCAACACCCTGCCATGCACGTGAGAAAGGAGATCTGACTCAACACCCTGCCATGCACGTGAGAAAGGGGATCTGACTCAACACCCTGCCATGCACGTGAGAAAGGGGATCTGACTCAACACCCTGCCATGCACGTGAGAAAGGGGATCTGACTCAACACCCTGTCATGCATGTGCGTGTGGGGAGTGGGACGGACACGGCCAAAGAGGAGAAACAGCAACCAAGAAACAGCAAGCGAGAAACAGCGAGCAAGAAACAGCAAGCGAGAAACAGCAAGCGAGAAACAGCAAGCGAGAAACAGCAAGCGAGAAACAGCAAGCAAGGGAACATGGTCCAAGAAAAAACCATCAAGCGCAGCCCACTCTTGGGAACACTCAGACGCAAGAGAAATACCTCTCCCACTCTAATTCACTCTTGAAAAGGTGCAAAGAGGCGTGTGCAGCTCACAAGTACTCGAGGCGGGAGAGGGCAGCAACAGAGAAACAGCACCAAGAGACGATGGTACGAGAAGAACACTCAAGCACAGCACCTCGCTCACTCTTGAAAAGGTGCAAAGAGGCGTGTGCAGCTCACAAGTACTCGAGGCGAGAGAGGGCAGCAATGGTGGAGGGGATGCTCCCTGTGATGGCGTTGGATGGTGCGTAGCTGGTGGTGAACAATGCGGCATGCAATGGGAGGGACGATGAGGCATGCAATGGGAGGGACGATGGGGCATGCAATGGGAGGGGACAATGCACGATGAGCAAGTGATGCGCGATGAGCAAGAGATGTGCGATGAGCAAGAGATGTGTGATGAGCAAGAGATGGGCGATGAGCAAGAGATGCATCTGAGATGGTGCTGGTTACAGGTTTTCCAGGGCGGTGAGGGCACTGATGCTGTCGGGCAGCGGGCCAGAGATGTTATTTCGTGCTATGCTCCTGGGGCAGGGGAGGGTGGGTGGGGTTGGCGTTTCTTGCAGGCTATGAGGCTTGGATGCTAAAATCTGCAAGCGTTAAGCGTCAAAGCACATGGCTTCAACACTTGACATTTGTTTGAGACAGCGCCAAAACGTTGACACTGCGTGTTGTTGTTTCTTTTTATTTATTTACTTATTTATTTATTATTATTATTATTGTTGTTGTTGTTCTTATTGTTATTGTTGTTATTATTATTATTACTATTATTATTATTACTACTATTACTATTATTATTATTAACCTCATTTTTCTTCATTTTTGGCAAACAAATCGCAGTTTGCTAGATCTACATTTGACCTCCATGGAGGGAGAGGCGTGCATGTGCAAGAGGTGAGGCGTACAGGTAGCAGAGGGCGGTGAGATGGCTGATTTCTTGTGGCAGTGACACATGCAAGGGGTTGGCATCCATTTCGCTGGGAGCATGTAGGGTGGGAAGGGAAGGGAGACCGGAGATCACATAAGAGGGAGGGGAGGGTTTTATCAGTGGACAGAGAAGGTGGGCGGGGGAGGGAGGAGATGGGCGTGGGAGGGAGGAGATGGGCATGGGAGGGAGGGGATGGGCACGGGAGGGAGGGGATGGGCATGGGAGAGAGGAGATGGGCATGGGAGGGAGTGTAGCTGCATGGGGAAAACGAGGGCTGACAAGAGCAAGAGCGAGTGAGTGCAAGCAGAAGGCGAGTAAGGAAGTGAGAAGCGAGCGATGGAGGTGGTGAAGGAACCAAGGAGTGAGGCAAGGGAGTGAGGGAGAGAGGGAGAGAAAGGCGGGAGATGGCGGGTGGAATGGGGGGGTCAGTTGGTGTGAGAGGGGGGGGGTGGGCATGGGAGGGCTGACAGAAATGCAAGCCGGCGTAGGCGGGAGATGGCGGGTGGAATGGGGGGGTCAGTTGGTGTGAGAGGGGGGGGGTGGGCATGGGAGGGCTGACAGAAATGCAAGCCGGTGTAGGCGGGAGATGGCGGGTGGAATGGGGGGGTCAGTTGGTGTGAGAGGGGGGGGGTGGGCATGGGAGGGCTGACAGAAATGCAAGCCGGTGTAGGCGGGAGATGGCGGGTGGAATGGGGGGGTCAGTTGGTGTGAGAGGGGGGGGGGTGGGCATGGGAGGGCTGACAGATACGCAAGCCGGTGCAGGCGTGAGATGGTGGGTGGAATGGGCCCCGTGAAGCTATTGTTGAAGAATGAACTGGGCCGGGGGGAAGGGGAGAGGGGAGGGACGGGGGGGGGGGGTGGCCTGGCTGTCAGACACAGACGGTACAGGCGGGAGACGGCGGGTGGAATGGGCCCCGTGAAGCTGTTGTTGAAGAATGAACTGGCAGACGATGCAAGGCACAGCAAGGCGAGGCGAGGCAAGGTAATGCAAGTCAGGGCAAGGCAAGTAAAGGAAAGGCAAGGTAAGTCAAGGAGAGTCGAGACAAGGCAAGGCAAGGCAAGGCAAGGCAAGGAGAGTCGAGGCAAGGCAAGGCATGTCAAGGCAAGGCAGGGGCAGCGTGTGGCAAGCTATGATGAGAAAGACGCGTCCTGCATCCGGGACGCAGGACGCTCGGTCTGCAGCCTACAAGACAATCAAAGACGCTGGGCCGGGTAAGGTAAAAAAATCTTCCGAGCAGCCAAAACAACCGTAGGAAGGGAGGAGAGGGGGTTTCGCGACATTGCAACCACATTGATCATGGATCATCCATAACATCTCATAACAACACCAGAATCCCACACATTACTAAACAGAGATTTCGGGTTTTCAAAAGAGAATCAGGTCGACGAGAAAACTCTGAATGACGACATCATTCTCTTCTATATGGGTTCAGGACAAGGTTTAGGGGGGGGTTGGGGGGAGATGCAGTGCGGTAATGTGTGGTGGCTAGGGAAAAAACGGGTTGGTAGCGACTTTGCTTGCCAAGATAACAAAATTGGCACCATTGGTTTGCGATCGATCTCCCTTGGCAGCATCGATCCCATTGGGGTGACTTTTGAGTCAACGCAAAAGTCACGAGTTTGCGTGATTGGCATTCAAACGAAATCGCCAAGGTCATCTTCTCAAATCGCCAAGGTCATCTTCTCAAATCGCCAAGGTCATCTTCTCAAATCGCCAAGGTCATCTTCTCAAATCAATTACTTTTTCAGGCAGCCCAATCTATTTTCCGCGAAGCGTCCTCCGTCCAGCGTCCGGACACGGGACGCTTCCCCTCCTCCTATTTTCATCATCAAGAGAGGCATGGCAGCGGGGAGCAAGAGAGGAAAAGGAGAAGGCGACAGGCAGGCAGAATGATGGGACTGATGGGCGGAATGATGGGATTGATGGGCGGAATGATGGGATTGATGGGCGGAATGATGGGATTGATAGGCGGGATGATGGGAATGATGGGCGGAATGATGGGAATGATGGGCGGAATGATGGGATTGATGGGCGGAATGATGGGATTGATGGGCGGAATGATGGGATTGATGGGGGAAATGATGGGAATGATGGGATTGATGGGCGGAATGATGGGACTGATGGGCGGATTGATGGGATTGATGGGCGGAATGATGGGATTGATGGGCGGAATGATGGGATTGATGGGCGGAATGATGGGATTGATGGGCGGAATGATGGGATTGATGGGCGGAAAAATGGGCAGAACAGAATGATGGAAATGACATGTTGGTTACAGGGCAACAGGGGATGGTATGTTGGTTAAAGCGCAACAAGGGATGGCATGTTGGTTACAGCGCAACAAGGGATGGCATGTTGGTTACAGGGAAACAAGGGATGGCATGTTGGTTATAGGGCAACAAGGGATGGCATGTTGGTTACAGGGCAACAAGGGATGGCATGTTGGTTACAGGGCAACAAGGAATGGCATGTTGGTTACAGAGCAACAAGGGATGGCATGTTGGTTACAGGGCAACAAGGGATGGCATGTTGGTTACAGGGTAACAAGGGATGGCATGCAGGGTAACAAGGGATGCCATGTTGGTTACAGGGCAACAGGGGATGGCATGTTGGTTACAGGGCAACAAGGGATGGCATGTTGGTTACAGGGTAACAAGGGATGGCATGTTGGTTACAGGGCAACAAGGGATGCCATGTTGGTTACAGGGTAACAAGGGATGGCATATTGGTTACAGGGTAACAAGGGATGCCATGTTGGTTACAGGGCAACAAGGGGATGGCATGTTGGTTACAGGGCAAAAAGGGATGGCATGTTGGTTACAGGGCAACAAGGGATGGCATGTTGGTTACAGGGCAACAAGGGATGGCATGTTGGTTACAGGGCAACAAGGGATGGCATGTTGGTTACAGGGAAACAAGGGATGGCATGTTGGTTACAGGGCAACAAGGGATGGCATGTTGGTTACAGGGCAACAAGGGATGGCATGTTGGTTACAGGGCAACAAGGGATGGCATGTTGGTTACAGAGCAACAAGGGATGGCATGTTGGTTACAGGGCAACAAGGGATGGCATATTGGTTACAGGGTAACAAGGGATGGCATGTTGGTTACAGGGTAACAAGGGATGCCATGTTGGTTACAGGGCAACAGGGGATGGCATGTTGGTTACAGGGCAACAAGGGATGGCATTAGGGATGAGCAAGTGGCGAACACGAACGTGTTCGTGTTCGCCCCTACACGAACACCTTCGTTTGCCGAACCGAACACTGTTCGGTTCGGCGAACACTTTGAGCAAAAAATGGTGTTTGCCGTTCGCCTGTGAAGACGTGTTCGGGCGAACCTCAAACACTGTTCGTGTTCGTCACGGGCAAATTGCAGCAGCGGCCCGAACACGAACGTGTTCGGGGCGAACATCGAACACTGTTCGGCAAACATTTTAAGCCAAAAAAAAAAACCTGTTCGGTTCGCCTCGAACGGTGTTCGTTTTTTTGCTCAACCTAGATGGCATGTTGGTTACAGGGCAACAAGGGATGGCATGTTGGTTACAGGGCAACAAGGGAAGGGATGTTGGTTACAGGGTAACAAGGGATGGCATATTGGTTACAGGGTAACAAGGGATGCCATGTTGGTTACAGGGCATCAGGGGATGGCATGTTGGTTACAGGGCAACAAGGGATGGCATGTTGGTTACAGGGCAACAAGGGATGGCATGTTGGTTACAGGGCAACAAGGGATGGGATGTTGGTTACAGGGTAACAAGGGATGGCATATTGGTTACAGGGTAACAAGGGATGCCATGTTGGTTACAGGGCATCAGGGGATGGCATGTTGGTTACAGGGCAACAAGGGATGGCATGTTGGTTACAGGGCAACAAGGGATGGGATGTTGGTTACAGGGTAACAAGGGATGGCATATTGGTTACAGGGTAACAAGGGATGCCATGTTGGTTACAGGGCATCAGGGGATGGCATGTTGGTTACAGGGCAACAAGGGATGGCATGTTGGTTACAGGGCAACAAGGGATGGCATGTTGGTTACAGGGCAACAAGGGATGGGATGTTGGTTACAGGGTAACAAGGGATGGCATATTGGTTACAGGGTAACAAGGGATGCCATGTTGGTTACAGGGCATCAGGGGATGGCATGTTGGTTACAGGGCAACAAGGGATGGCATGTTGGTTACAGGGCAACAAGGGATGGCATGTTGGTTACAGGGCAACAAGGGATGGGATGTTGGTTACAGGGTAACAAGGGATGGCATATTGGTTACAGGGTAACAAGGGATGCCATGTTGGTTACAGGGCATCAGGGGATGGCATGTTGGTTACAGGGCAACAAGGGATGGCATGTTGGTTACAGGGCAACAAGGGATGGGATGTTGGTTACAGGGTAACAAGGGATGGCATATTGGTTACAGGGTAACAAGGGATGCCATGTTGGTTACAGGGCATTAGGGGATGGCATGTTGGTTACAGGGCAACAAGGGATGGCATGTTGGTTACAGGGCAACAAGGGATGGCATGTTGGTTAGAGGGCAACAAGGGATGGCATGTTGGTTACAGGGCAACAAGGGATGGCATGTTGGTTACAGGGCAACAAGGGATGGCATGTTGGTTACAGGGCAACAAGGGATGGCATGTTGGTTACAGGGCAACAGGGGATGGCAAGTTGATTACAGGGCAACAAGGGATGGCATGTTGGTTACAGGGTAACAAGGGATGGCATGTTGGTTACAGGGTAACAAGGGATGGCATGTTGGTTACAGGGTAACAAGGGATGCCATGTTGGTTACAGGGCAACAGGGGATGGCATGTTGGTTATAGGGCAACAAGGGATGGCATGTTGGTTACAGGGCAACAAAGGATGGCATGTTGGTTACAGGGCAACAAGGGATGGCATGTTGGTTACAGGGTAACAAGGGATGGCATGTTGGTTACAGGGTAACAAGGGATGGCATGTCGGTTACAGGGCAACAAGGGATGGCATGTTGGTTACAGGGTAACCATGTTGGTTACAGGGCAACAGGGGATGGCATGTTGGTTATAGAGCAACAAGGGATGGCATGTTGGTTACAGGGCAACAAGGGATGGCATGTTGGTTACAGGGCAACAAGTTACAGGGTAACAAGGGATGGCATGTTGGTTACAGGGTAATAAGGGATGCCATGTTGGTTACAGGGCAACAAGGGATGGCATGTTGGTTACAGGGTAACAAGGGATGGCATGTTGGTTACAGGGTAACAAGGGATGCCA